CAAAAGAAGACAGCTGCCAGAGTTTTAGGAGGACAATTCTCTTAGATAACCAGCGGCTCAGCTTAGAAATTCAAGAAATTAGGTGGAAAAGTGAACTCTTTGAAATAAATAGAGACATTTTAGTGTTAAAGATAACACAATTAGAATGCGAAATACTGGCGTACTATCCGTGGTTTGTAAAAACCGTAGTGTTTACAACTGAAATCTGAAGTGTATAAATTCAGTGTTTTGTGTGCAAGGTTGATGTGTGGATATAAAAGGCGAGAATTTCTGCTTATTTAAAGTCAGCATGATGATAGTACGTCATGAGAAATAACAAAAACATTAAACAATTATAAAGAAACAGGACATTCACGAATTGTTCTGGAATAATTCTGGAACAAAAACTGCATAACTTTGGCCCTTTTTCAAGTTGCCTTTTTTGATTAAAGGACTTATATTTTATTTAATACCTATATTGAGATAAAAACCTATATTGAGATAAAACAATCATAATTTTCGATTAAATTCGTTTTGCTCAGCACATTGCCCTGAAAGTAAGTAAAGTAAATGTTGACTGGATTCATCGACTCGGCATACTTTCATCAACAAACTTCTCAATAAATTTATGTAGGTAAAGATTGTTACAAAATCAAGAACGTTTCAAATGTATGATATATATAAAAAGAGAGCTTTAATGAAAATCTTCCTTTTGTCTACAAAATTCCTCTTGAGTCTCAAAGTAAGGTAAGTATACCTGCAATTTACAACTATAGCAAACTATCTATTTGCATCTTAAGGGGGCCGACTATAGTTTCCATTGCGCAATATTTCGCGCATCATAGTAAAATGAAGCGTATTTATTGTTTAAATGCAATTTTTTTCGCTTAATTATTAAAATTAAACAAAATTAAAAAATTAAAGGTATAAAAATGTAATTACAATTTGATATAACTGATTATTTAACCGATTTTGGAATTGATAGGTAGGTTGACGTCGCTGCAGTGTCTTTTTAAGTTATAGTAATCTGAAGCTCTTAAAGAAACGGGTAATAAAAATATTATTACAGAAAAAGTAATGAACATATGCTCTTGAAATTCAAAACATAGAAATTTTAGAATATCTCCAATATTTTTATAATGTTTTCTTGTGAATCCATTGTTTACGTCATATTTTGTAGTACTGTATAAAAATAGTAAAATTTGCGAATTTTTTTGCATTTTGAGATGCACCCTCTCTTAACAAGACGGTAGAATTTTGTGTTACTTACATATATTGTATCATATAGTATTACTCGTAAAATATTATAGTTTGAACAAAATGTCTATTGTAGTATTTGTATAATTTGCTTTAAAGTGCTAAAAATTGGCATTTTCCTATATAATCCTATAGTAAATGTACCTGTATTTTGAGACGGTCCCTCAAAAATACCTGGACGGTATATTTTCCCCAAACTTTGCATGTATACTGACGTTAATGTAAGTTATATATGGTATAAAAATGAAGAGATTCGCTATTGTAGTTTTCACACAATAAAACTATAGTCGGCCCCCTTAAATCAATTCATCAAAATGAATGTGCATGTTATAGTACACAAACACCATTTGAACATAGTAGTTACTGCAATATTTGTAAAATGAAGTCATTTTCTGCTTTATTTTGATGCGTTTCTCATTGGTCATTCAACACGTCAAATACGTCTGCGGTCCTGACGACATTTTCTCACTCCAAAGAAAGTAAGTACTTTTGTATGTACTTGTATTAATCTCCTCAAAGAAATCTTTAAACATATATACCATCTCAGGGTTCTATTTTTAATTTAGGACATGTATTAATTGTAACTTTTAAATAATGTTCACAAGCGTGATTATTTGTTAAAATTCTTAAAGTAAAGGATGTTTTCCCCAATATTTCAAGAGAATTGATTTTAAGGGGAAAACCTCTCTATAGTGTCTATCTAAGAGTATTTAGCATGCTTCTGTCTTATCATTTCTTTTGGTACCATTGTAGTTCTAATAACAATGCCTTTGTAATATGCCCTACTTTAAAAATAGCTTTAACCTGGATAATATTTTCTGCAATGTTGGTACAAGGCTATATCTTTCTACATATGTATTTCTTGTGACAAGACCTTTCTTTCAGTATCAACATTTTTGAAATCTAGACTTTGAACTTGGAGTTAACCTTCATTGAACAAAGATTAAAGTTGTCATAAGGGGACATCATTGTTTCACCAAACATATCTTAAATTTATCTAGGACACGATGAACCTTCATAAATTAGCATACTGTAATGTAGCTCAATCGTCCTCATGGAATAGCATAATTATAAGTAAGCATTGTTTCCGTCAGATATTGATTTAAAGGTGCCAACTATTCCTTATAACTAATAATTGAAGTGATTTTATTTTTCAGAAAACCAGGAAAAAATATCTCGCTTATTCCACCAACCATAAGCCATAACCTTCGAGATTCTGATAATACAGTTGACACAGAAAGCTATGTTGTTTGTATGACACCTTATAAGGAAGAAAATCCATGCATACGATCAGCTCTATGCTCAAAGTGTTGATAACACATACGTTAATGTATCAGAAACGTTATTTAAAAAGTTTAAATCTAGATATCGTTTAGATGAGTTTTCGTTATTACTATGCATAAGAATATACTTATTTAGATATGTAAATTTCGAGAATCTACCAATAACTTATGACAAGAACATTATTGAGGTACCAACATATTTCATCTAGACCCACTTTTGCAAAAAAAATTCCGAAGTTTAACCTTGGCACACTTTTGAATAGTTTGCGCTTGGACATTGACATTTTACAAATGTATTATTGTGATTAGACCTTTCTACGGGATAAATATTTTTGACCTTGATATTAAAGTTTGATCCACTAGTACTCAAAAAACTTTACTCTTGGCCATAACTTTTGAACAATTAAAACTAGGGCTCTAATATTTCACAGATTTATTCTTTGTGAAAAGTCCTTCCTTTAGATTCCAACAGATTTGACGTGACATGTCCTTGACCATGAAGTTTGACCTACTTTTAAAAATCTAGCATCTTAGCCATTTATTTAATGGATTTATTGTCATGATAAGACCTTCTCCTGAGTAACATTTATTTATATTTTTTAATTCAGTTAGATCTTGGCCTTTAACAAGGGGAGTTGTGTACACATTTATTTAATAACATATATATGATAATGGTATGCCAAGTTAGGGTAAACTTTTCTGTTGTTTTGTCGAGCATCAAATACACAATATTGTACTTACCTTTCCATTTAGCTTTTTTTTATCGCGATAAATAACATATTTTTTAATTAAATATCTTTGTATAGATACAATGTAAATGTAAAGATGATCCAAGGAAGTGATATCTGTTTAATTGTGCAACTAATAATCATGTAGATTTGGCGAAGCATGAAAATTAAATGAAAAATGTGTATTCAAGTATATCCAATTAGAATGTTATTCTGGAAAAAAATCCAAATAACAAAGTTTCTGGGGACATTTTCAATAATTTTTATAAATATTAAACAGCATCTTAGGCTGAATTGTAGTAAAATATTAAATGTATGACCCTTTCTTCCGCGGGAGGCATTAAAGGGGAGTTAAAACCATTAAAATCAATTCAAAAGTCCCAAGGCCATGAAAGGTAATCTAAGTAAAAACCGTCAATTTAAAGAATTCCTAGCGTAGGATGTTCTGTGACCCAAAAGCAAGAGAAATAGTACGCAAAGAAATTTAACATTTAATCACCGCAAACGATAGCGATTAATGCAAAAATTAAATCTTTGAAACGCAATAATGTTTGCAAATAACAGCAATAATGTTTGCGTATAAACTAGATAATTTCTTCTTTTGGGGGTTTATGTTGCATTTAATTTCAATAATCCCGTAGTTTAAAAATCAGAAATCAACTAGCTAAAGCTTACTTACTAGGATCGGACACTTTATTGAAAAACCATTTGATTCTGTGTCTTTTTCCAATAATTTCAATTTTTTAAAACTTGTAGTAAACAATGGCAACATAACATTCAGAATATCTTAAATGTATTATAGCCCATACTCTTTATGAAGCCTCTGATCAATTGATTACGCATCACAAATAACTACGAAGGTTTCGGTGATATTCATAGCACTTGTAAATTTGACAGTACACATCTACCAGTCTGTATGTTTTCATTTGATTTTAAATTTGATTTCTTGACCTTTTTTGCAATTAAACGTAAGCACATGTATTTTACGTTTAAATACAATATACAATGCGATGTTACGCAATCTTTTGCGTTTAAATGCAATGGTTATTACAAAAAAATCAGAATCATTAGATGTAAAGATAAAATCTTTAAAACTTTCCCTCATAAGAATAGCAAATCTACGACGATCATATTAATGTGAAAGCATTATATGGTAGAATACATGATTCCTATTTCAAATTACTGCTTCCACGTAAAAGGTTTGGCCACAAAATTAAAAGGCAATCAAACTTTTATGGGAAATACGTGGGATTTTACAATACTAGTGATTCAGGTGAGTGTTAGGCACATGGACCTCTTGTTCCTTCATGATTATCTTTTGTCAATATTTGGTCTTCTAGATATGTTGTGTTGTCACGCATCTAATACAAACATTGAGATTACTTTTTCATTTAACTTTAAGAACTTAATAAATATTTCATATTTCCCCCCAAAAATTCAACGATGTTTAATTTGATCAATAGGTGCATTTTAATCTAACGAAGTGATGTCTATTTAGTTGATATGTATGGGTGAAAAATTGGGAAATGCAAGTTAACAGTTTAATACCATTCTTACAAAAGTTTCATAAATACATGTTTTATACAACGTTTACTTCTGAAATTTTTTAAGAATTCTTCATTTTATGTTTATTAAATATCCCCCATGACACACATATGCACATCTTACAATTGGACGGAAATATTTTTTGCGCATCATTTTCTATTTACATGTATATTGATTTTAGTAATTTAGTAAGGAAAGTTTTTTTTTGATAAACTCTTAAATTATCCATAAAATTTCATAGTGAAATCGATAAGCGGGGATTAGTATATCAATCTATCACGCTTTTGTTGAAACAAGGAAGTACTTTAACATTTTGAAAATCAATGCTGATAAGAAGTAAAATGTGGACAGTTAACATAAAACATGTCTGTTTTATGTGCACATTTGCTCATCATTTTATTTCAAAAGGTAAGTAAATATAAAAGTTTTCGTTTAAAACTACACTAAAAAAATGTTTATTGAATTAATATGCAATATTGATTTTTAGCCCTAAATAAAAATCATTTCTCTTATGAATTAGGATCCTCGGAAAAATATAACTTCCAATTTTACAACAATACTCTGGACTGGAGAAATGCAAACGAAAGATGTAGCGATTTGAATGGAACACTGGCCAGGATTAAGGATTTAGAAACTGCCAGTAATAACGAAGACAATTTAAGGATAGCAGCAGATACACCGTTTTGGTCATCTGTTACAGGGTCATTTACTCCTTGGATAGTATACAGAGGTATTCTGTTTCATTTAAAATTATTTTGAAAAGTTCTTCACTAAGTATTAAATTTCTGTGAATATATTTTTTTATTCACTAGGCTGTTTTCCACAACCATCTTGGAACAATAACAACTTTACATTAAAACCTAACTCTGTGGGGAATTGCTTTTCAAAATGCCGAAATCAAACAACGAACCCAACTGGTTGTGAATATTTTGCCCTTAGTGTAAGTATTTAAAATTCTATGATTCTTTCCGTAAAAGTTACAAGTATCGGTATTCTACTAGGAAATAAAGTATTAAATGACCTCTGGAATTACATTTCTCTTGTAAACTATGACTGTGTACACGTTTATAAATTAGTAGCCGTTTGTATATTAAGCTTTAATTGTTGCATTGTTCAGGGCGAGACCTGTTTCTGTTTTTGCACACATCCTCGTCTTAAGCTGACTGACAGTGTCCAGTGCAACCTAACGTGTAATAACTCCACTGATGATGGGTTCTGCGGAGGAAAAGGCTATATTACATTATATCAAGGTAATTATTCCTTGTTTGGACAACTCATATTAAAAATGAGCAGAATCTTTTCTGATAGTTGTTAGTACGTGTATCAAGAAAGCTATTCAAGTGTCTCTAACAATTCGATATTTATATTGACTCGGCATGTTAAACCTACATTAGTTGACCTGGTTTATTTATTAATAAGAAACCTACTGACCACTGTGTTATGCTACAAAAGTATCAGCTATCCGTTGAACTGCATTTAAAGTCTGTATTTGTGCATTTGTTACAACGTCCTTAATTGTAGAAACACAGATTTGATTGTTTACCGGCGCTATCCATACAAGTGTCAGGGTATTGTTTTTCATATTAAATTTATGTTTTTTCAATATATAATTCTTTTTACCTTATTAAAACCTGATCAAAACAAAGTGCTCATGGCTAGTGTGACGGGTCGCCAAGGGTCGCTTATACCACAATCGCACCTGATCCTTCTTGTTATGTTTCCTGGGGTCCGTGTTTGCCTCCCTTTTGATTTATTCTGTTGCTTTGTTAGATTTGAGATTTATCAATGTTTGTAATCTTTAAATAATTAAACACGAGTTTTAGGTTTTACTTTAAAGATGACATAAGTAATCAGATTTGCTAGCAGTGATTTTTCATGTAATTTTACGGAAGGATAGAACCTGTCTAAGTTTTGTTAATAAATTAATGATTATAATAATAACCCTTATTGATACATGTATTTAGTGTAGATCTATTATAGAAATTAATTCGGTAATTATGTATGACAATGATCTATACAGATTTGAAAACTTTTAGAAAGGAACCAATCTATTTATAGTAAGCGATTGAATTCATTTCGGTATTTGAAAATATTTTCCATTTTCAGTCAAAGATACATTTAAAGGCGATGGATTTTGTTTGGCTTACGACTGTCGATCAAAGGAACTTTTGTCATCTGGTCATGATTGTGACGAAAAACATGAAGGATTCTGTGGTAAGTGTATCTTCAGATTTTATACATTTTATTCTACAAAGATTAGGCTTCATTTTAAATTAAAGATCTGAATGTTTATCCATGACTGACACTCATAGATTGTAAATGTATTATATTTGGTGTGTACGATATTTAGCAGAAATTGAAGTTTGACAAAGTTAGCGTAGATTTGATTTTGCGCATTTCTCCCTTTTATGAGAATATGTTCAATACATTTCGCCTGTTGGCATTAATTATTTTCTACCAATGTAGTGGTATTTGACTTTTTGTAGTTCGGGGAAACAAAGAATTACTATCAAATCAACTTAGTTCAACTTGGAATTACTATGCGAGGAGCTGTAAAGAACAGAAACTTTTCCTTACTGCTTACATTCAGGCAGAAATCAACAAAACGATTTGCAACAGTTATGTTTGGACTGGAATAAGGACATACAGAATTTACGATCATGATGGAAGTAAGTTGTCTTACGTTCTAATAAAATACAATTGTTAATCTATAAATTTGTTTTTTACTCTAAAACACCAATTTTACTCATTTTAAAGGTTTTAGGCTAAAAAGTTACATAAGTAATTCTACTGCAATTTATCCTTTGCAATTGTTTTTTTTTTCATTAACGTGTGACACTTCTCAATTTAAAAAAGTAAGTCAAATTGAACATGATGCATGTGTAAAGGAAAAGTCTTCTCCATAATAGCTGGACCATTGAAGACAATATTTATGTTAAAGGATTGACATAATGTTAGAATTTTAGCTATGCGTATTTTGAGTTAGGGTTGGGCCTCAACAAGGGGGGGGGGGCAAAATCTTCCATTTGAATCACGAAGAAAACCTTTTAAATATCTTCTGATAGGAAATGCTAAGGCCAAGCAACTTGAGTATTGTGACCTACGTTTCTTGTTTACATTTTAAGAAGTATTGTTGCCCGTATCTACTCGCCACCCATATAGTGTTAAACCAACAAAAAAACTTGTGTTTCCTTTTCTTCATGCGTTTCTCTGTGTATGTGTGGATTACTGAAAGAACTTTCTTTATTTATAGTTGATATTTTAAAGTAGATGGTTCAACCATGTGTCATTATTTGACCTGTTTAGGTTTAACAACTATTTTCTTAAATTCAGACAAAGACTGTTATGCAGTTAGAAGGAATTTGGACACGTGGTTATATGAAAAAGTCAACTGTTCTCATAAACTGCCATTTTTGTGCCAGACTAATCATATTCAGAGTGAGTTACTCCAAAGAATGACTCTTCATAACATTGCGATCTGGCCCCTTTTAAAACGCGGATTTTTTGCTTTTGAAATCAAAACATTGACATATTTTAGCTAAAATGTACAAGTATGGTATGAATACAACACTTCAAAATCTTTTTTGATGGAGAAACTCTCAATATATACATAATATCACTGAAATAAAAATGCATACATCAGTGCCAAATCTCAACTTCGCCATTGCGGCTATGTAGGTCATTGTATTATTTGAATAAGGAGGCGGAGCGTCAATCAAGCATGCAAATAGTGTGAATATATTATCGAGTGTTCGACGTGTACTTAATATAGTTTTTAAGTTATATCTTATAAAATAACTAAACAATCTTAAAACCCCCTCACCTTTTTTTCGGGCTTGGGACCGACAATATGTAATAATTTTGGCAGGTTTAGGTTTTGTTTTTACTGCTTAGCTTTTAAACGGGTATATCAATGAAATAATTATTTTTGACATTCGTTGAAATAAAATGTAAACGCAGTGATACGGTTTCTATAAACATAATGTCTCATTAAAGATGGTATTTTTTAGATTTTACAGTAACGTAGCTTATTTCAATTCTAAAGCGATAATAATTTCATTTAATTTTTATTTTACATGTAAAATTGATTATCAATAGCATATAATTTTGCAAAAAGTTTGAGTGTTTAAACAAATATATGTATGCGGTTGAATTTTGATAGAAAGCCAGGATAATCATGTAAGAATTAAATCTCTGAATCATCATCACTGCTGGACGATGAAATATCGGTATCTGTGTCTTTTGCACAGTCCAGAACGCTGTCGGGCATAATCTGACTCTGAAGCTCCGTGTCTGCGTGTCTCTGCACTCCTATGTACCACAGTATCGACGCAACATGCGCACAGCTGCCCACTAACCGTGCTCCAGACTTACACTGACAGTACCAGTATTTGATGGGATCTTCATCGTCTGATGCATCAAATTGAATCCATAAATAGTACGATTTTGACGAGACATGACGTGATTGTATTTTTGCTTGAAGAATATTTGTCATAGTTTTAGTAACGAATATTTCGTATCCCCCCTCCTCATCCAAATGTTCGCGAGAATATGAAGACGCTTGTTTTATTTGATAAATTCCGAATGTTAATGATCTTAAGTAGTTTTATGACAACTTGGGAAAGTCGGGAACAGCATCAGCGGCATCAATTTCTGACATTTTATTTGATAAGATACGTTTTCCAGAAGAATTTATGAATAAGTCTTTTAAAGGATTTGTAGTAATTTTGGATTTCTCAAGCATTTTACGGGATATTTCAAGATCATCGTCCGAGTCACTCGCGAGAGATGGCCTAAATGCATTTATTAATGAACCAACAATACGAACATAATCACCAATAAATGGAATTTGAGTATTTGCCACGACATTTGCCAAAAACTTCCACCTTTTTAACTTCCCATTTGCAGATTCTACAGCCCATCTTATTTTGGTAACTAATCTCGACGTATTAGCCTCAAATAGTGAATGTTGCTTTTCCCCCTTCCCCAGAAAATATGGTGACTCGGACCTCAAACCTACAGACTCGATTACATCTAATGAATCTCTAAAACCCCTGTCTAATACAAAAATGTCATCTTCTTTTAACCAATTTAGTAAAGCGTCATCTTTTAGTAAAGTTTTATTTAAAATATTAGCATCATTGTTTTTGCCATCCGCTAGATATGGACCCAGGACATCAACAATGTAGCCATCAGACGCAACAAACATCATTGGTTTTACAAGGGGCCGACCTTTGTACATAGTAAAGGATCTTCTCTGAAAACTATATTTTGCGCTTTTCTCAATGTATATGTAGGTACCATCAACTAATAATATGGCAGTGGCGTCGTCACCAGATGCAAGAAGTTCGCGCGCAAATATTGTTGTATGTTTTGCTATGATTTCATCCCTTGTAATGTGATTTAAGCCCATATATTTCGGAACAAACTGGTCCATCAAAACTGTTCTTGCACGTTTAACAATTTGACAAACGCACTTGCTTTTCTTGATGTTAAATATCGTCTTAAGCACTGTGCTTGAGAGACCTGTTCTAAGTTTCGTTAAAAGAATCCCTATAACCGTTTTCTTTGAATATTTCTTCTGTCTTAATCCATGAATCTGTGAACATAGTGCCTCAAATTCTTGTTTATTAATGCCCGTCAAATTCATATAATCCTCATCATTTAGGGATTCGTTGTCGGAATCTACTCGTGTATTCTCAGATTTTAACAAAAGTTCCTCACACTGAGATAAATAATCACTTAATTCACCTGAGGACAATTTCTTTGTACCCATTTTCATCCTATGAAAATTCTCATTGATATGTTGATCTTTAATCATGCGTTCATTGGACAAGTGAGAGGGGCATACACGTGCTTTTTTGTGCAATATAACATTATGTTTAAGAAATACTTGTGCGCAAACTTTCTTAGAAACAGTTTTCATTGACTTTTTACGGGATCTGCAGATAGCACAATATTTGTGCGACTTTGTGCCGATGTAAAATGTTTTAACGTCAACATTGCCCCCAGTAGTCTGAAACTTCCCCCTATTCATATCGAGGGTGCATTTTGTGCAGATGTGGTCATCCCCCGTGACTTTTCCTCCCGTAATACGCGCTAATTCAGTCCTCCGTACTTCGTTTATCTTTCCCCTGAGGCTTCTTCGATTAGATTTATTTGTGCGCTTTTTACAAACAACACAGTTTATACTTTTAGGCATGGTGAATACTAGTAAATTTTTTTCCGATTATAACACTGTATAATGACGGTTTTAACAGAAAAAAAAGGACTGTATAACATAAATATCTTCCAGCAATTTAAGTGAGAGTTTTTCTTGAAACAGACGCACGTGTATAATATATAAACACAGTACCTAAAGAGAATTTCTAATTATGTTTAATAAACACATGATAAATGCAATGATTAAGTAACAGATGTATGCTACAGGCCCCCCCGGAGTAGATCGATAGATACTTACCGAAAGAAAAAACAAACAAATGGAAATTGTCAAAAATAGTGTTCAATAACAGGTAAATAAAACAATTGAACATATCATATAGCATAGGCGTAGTCACAGGGGGGCAGCGGGGGCACTACCCCCCCCCCCCCCCACTTTTAGATCTGGGGGGGCAAGAGTATGTCTGTGCCCCCCCCCCCACTTTTTAATGAAGAACAAAATAACAGCTATTTTTCCCCAACATTACCTTTACTATAGTTATATCGAAGAATTGTGGGAGAAAATTGGAATTGAAAGTAACTTGTCTTTGAAAAAGTTGCCCACTCCCCCCCCCCCCCCCCCAACGAAATAGGATTTTCGTCTTTGGGGAACTTTCAATTTCCCCCTTTTTTTTTTTTTTTTTGCTTGTCAAAGAATTTCTGGAGTTGAGCCCCCCCACTTTTAAGTTTGGGGAACTTTCAATTTCTCTTTTTTTTTTTTGCTTGTCAAAGAATTTCTGGAGTTGAGCCCCCCCACTTTTAAGTTTGTGACTACGCCTCTGTATAGATATATCAAGTATGCACGTTTCCAAAATATTCTCAAATAGAAGGGTTGTCCAAGTATTTTTAGCCGATGGAATAAGATTTGACAATGGATAGCTCGCAGACACTCTAGACACGATGTCGAAATGGTGTGCTCAAAGCGTGAAAGTGAATAGATTTAAATCACGTGGTCAATGCTTTGTTATTCATGAGGTCAAAGACGGGTTGAAAGTTGTAAACAAGGTAGCTTTACTATAGAGACAAGTACCCGTGATTTTGAGGTTTTGGGGAAAATAAAACATGAGCGCACGATTGTTTCAATTTCTTTCATGGATGTAAATGATAAGTATTACTTTTAACGTTGACCATAAAAACGGCAAATTGAAACATCAATGCGCTCATATAAAAAATTGGCTTACAAAATGGGGGTGTGGCCTAAAGTCTATGAGAAATTGGTGTAAACAGCGTACCCCTGCTATATTAATCAGAAAAATACCTAATTACAGTTTATGAAAGCAAAATTTTAAATTGAAATTAATAAACTACAATGTTTAATGGAAAGATTGGCGCAAAATTATGTAGAAAATCTGTAAGTTATTTTTTTGTAAATATTTGGGGGGCCAAATGTGGACGTTTAAACGATTCATTCTTTGACGAAATTTCTTTATCATATATACATCACCTTATCAGATTATAGTTGAAGTCTTTTGATATAAAATACTGCTTCATTCTTTTCGAATAATACTCATATATTTTTTTTTAAATTATTTTGAATTAAATGGGTGTCAGTTATCATCTTCAGAGAAATAGCTTCACTGTTAAATTGTGTATTTGATATATCAGTTTTTTTTGTTTATCAAGCCCAAAGCACAACATCAGAATCACCAAACACAAATCAATCTCAAACTGATGCCATGACACCTTCACTCTTAGAAAGACATTCTCAGACTACAAACACAGGTAGGCCTACAGTCTATATGTTTAAAAAAACTTATGAACCGAAATAGATTTGGTCAACTGAAATATTACAACTGATATTAATCAATATATATGTTCCAACTTAACAAACACCTTCATTCTCATCTGAATGGGTGGATATCATTAATTTTTATTATCAAATTTTTTTATTTTCACAATTACTGTCTATTTTCCTGACACCGTTTGAAAAGAACATTTTCGTCTGTCATGTGGTTATGCATACAAAGATTCCTTTTATCAGATCTAGTTTCCTTATAACAATCATAATTCAAGTTTTAAGTATTAAACATATTATAGTTTTAATCATTCATGAATTTATTTAAGTCTGACTGGTTCAATTTTCATGTACATATAGCTTCATGTAATTGCATTGGTTGATACCCGTAGGTTTAATAGCTGGGTCAATCTCTGGAGTTGTCGTTCTTCTTATTGCAACAATTCTATCGATCTGTTACATCAAAAGAAAACAGTAAGTACATGTACTTTCTTAACAGAACGACTGAAATTGTGTTTATGAATAAAAAAAAAACTTCTTTTTGCTTTCTTGTATCTTAGTTGCATGGATGCTTGTAAATTAAATGATTAATGAAAGGTGTCATAATCAAAAGTCCATCGAAGCATTATAAAATGAAAGTGCATCAAGAATTCACTCGTATGTTTTTTGTAAGGTTTTGGGATGGTTTTTTTTTATACATTAAAATATTATTTTTTCAAGATAAAACATTGGATGTGAGTTTATACGTCAGACATAAATACTCCCATCAAATTATTTGTTGTTTCTTTACCAAATAGAATGTTTTATACTTTTTTAATGAATCAGTAAAACCTTTAACTTTCTTAAATATACGCAATCAATTATCTGATCCAATAGGGATTCTAGAAATAGATCTCTTTAACTCATCACAGTTTTTCTGAAGACAAATTAAATACTTAAAGTGGAAATTTAGTTTTGGCGTATGTGTTCACCAGGTGAGGATAAATAAAAAAATGTTTGTTTGTCCATCAAAGTTAATTGAAAGTTAGTCTACATATTTTGGAATGTCAAGACACTCGGAATAAGGTTCACTTTGGTTTGACTTTGTTTTAACACAGAATGGAAAGTAAAATATGTGTAAAGATGATTGATGATAATATTTTATATTGAAGAAAACCAAGAAGCAGTACAGCACCACCAGTTCATAATGCAATCTATGACATTGTTGACTCTGATAATGCAGTAAAAGGACAAAAAGATGTCATCTACATGAATGCTGTTTCAAAAGACACTAATAAGCAGGAACAGTTTCATTTATATATAGATGATAATGTTTATGTTGAGAAAGCAGAAGGGGAATATGATTGTTTGCACTCTTCACGACCAAAGCCGCATATAGCTGACGATGATTCTCAGTATGAAAAATCAGAGAATGCCTATTCTACAACTACAAGAAAGGAACAAGATGTTGAGATGCATGGCTCTCATTATGATTCTGTCATAAAAGAAAATTCATACGATTCAAAGGATAACCATGACAATATTTACGGGTCACACTACTCGTCCACAGTAGGAAATCAGTACAATTTAAAATGGAATGTAGGTGATATTCAATTGCAAGAAACTTCAGACTACAACACTACATACAAACAATAACATATTACTTAGTCCAGTATTTTGTCTGTACATTAAAACCATCATTACAGAGTTTTCTTCTGGTCTGATTCTTCAAATCGCTGGGTTGCCTGCAGTCTGATATAGTCCAGCCTGATATTACATTGACTGGATGTTAGAAAAAAGTTTCTGGTTAATCAGAACTTTACATGTAATAACACTATCTTTTATATGTTTTAATTTATCTTGTCACGTTTTCATTTCATATTATCAATTAATTCTTTTTTTAAATTCCTATGCCACAAAATGATTAAAGGACCAAGCTTGAGATAAGCAATGAGAGCATCGACATCTTTAAAAACTTTATAAGCATTTAAATTCTATCATTCATTTTATACTCTCAGTAAGGTAGAATTTGCGAGAGAAAAACACCTCAAATATCCTAACATTAAATAATTTATTTCGTCAACAGCAAGATAGATGGTAGTATGTTGTTAGGCGAGGAGCCTTTATTCAGCACTCGGGCTCGTAGAACAGTGAGGGATCATTATCTTGCCAACTTCCGTCGTAACACGGTGATTTGGTTTATAAGGTTTCATCCAATGATCTGCAACTTTTATTTCAGAGTCCCGAGCTCTTGGTGACGAGGATCGAACCCACGACTTTCTGATCATGAAGAGAGCGACTTTCCATTACATAAATACAAAGTCGGTCTTTGACGATGGAAGAATTTTGAATAAGGATAATTAACATCGTTAATGTATGTGATTGCTATTACCAATATTCAAAATAATTTCAATTGAAGTCTTCAATCAGCGTTTCCTACACTAGCTAGTGAGTTCAGTTGTGACTTAAATTATCGTACCTAGATACAAAATATGCACTAAGCTTCTATAGAAACCCTCCAAAACTGCTCAACAAAGGTACTGCTGGAAAGACCTTTACTGGCAAATTTAAAATAATTATTCAATACAATGATCTGATTTAAAAATATCTGGAAGTAAAGGGAGTCCCTGTCTTTTTAGTGGGGGTGGAACTTTATATCTATATATTTTTAATTCTAAACAAGATATGTTTGTGAAACACTGACGCCCCACTGACGTAGCTTATGGCGAGGGTTGAATTCTCTCAAATGCTTGTCAAACTCCAAAGATCTAGGTCAAAAGTGTTGGTATGCCAAAAAACTCATGTTACAAGGAACACACCTGTGAAATATGAAAGCCTGAGTTCTAACTGTTAATAAGTTATGACCAGGGTTAAAGTTTTTAAATAGTAGGTAAAACTCTTAGGTCAAGATGAAAAGGTAAAAAATATTTATACAAGCTGAAAGGTCTTGTCACAATATATACACATGTGAAGTATGAAAGCCTTAGCTCAAACTGTTCAAAAGCTATGGCCAAGGTTAAGGTGTGACATTTTGTTGTAAAAGTATGCCAAACTCCAAGGTCAAGAGGTCAAATTTCGCAAAACCAAAAGAAAGGTTTTGTCACAAGTAATACACCTGTGAAATATGAAAGCCATATCCCCACCCACTCAATACTTACGGGCTAAATTAAAGATGACAACAGACGGACAGAAACACAAACAGACTGGAAAAATATACCCCCGGGATCTTTCGATCCGGGAGCATAAAAAGAGTATGACAGGCAAATTTTTGAAGGGGAAGATCTCGATTTTTAGTCGGTATTTAACATGGCATTAATTATATATCAAGGAATTGTATCAAATTATTGAAATGGAAAATGCGCACCCTCAATACAACCGTTTCGGTATATTGGGAGTGCTTAAAGAATAAAACTACGGCAACATTATTTAGGTTTCAGCTGACAAAGTATTACATGTATATAGTATTACTGGTTTTAATGTTCGGTATTACAACTGCATTTTAGAAAATTACACTTGTTCTTCGATTTCATATATATGTTATTTTCAACAAAACTTTTTAAAACAAATATATCTAATGGATATAACGAAAACAGCATTCAAGCTCAAAAATCCATTAAACAATACAAATCAGGAGCAGAGCAAACACAGGCCTTTAAAATATCAGAGGTGGGATCAGGTGCCATGGAGGAATGAACATCCCCCGTCGACCGGTTACATATCTGCCGTATGCTCTTTGTCATGATCGGTAAAAAAACCGGGAAAATCCCTCAACACATCAGTTCTTTATATCAGAGCTTACGTGTTTCACTAGCTGCAATAATGTAGCCCTCTCCGATTTTTTTTATCTGATATTTTCTGGAGAGGGCTACAATTCCATCGCATCTCCGTAATGGTGCAAATATATTTTTTTGATACGGGTGATTGGAGGCAAAATAAATTATTTTTACATTAAACTTACTTCTTATAAGACGGAATTTTTATTCACTGTCAACAACATAGCCTGTTAAACTCGAAAACCATGTGAAATAAATCTGTGTCTTTCCCAGCTGCAATATTAAGCAGCCATGACAGTTCACGCGTGACGTAGTGAGACTTTCGCTTGAAATTTGGAACAACCAAATAAAGCAAATGTCGATGTTTATAAACGATTGTGCTTTAATATATTTAATAAATACTGTACAGACTGGTGCATAGAAATTAATACAAGTAAAACCAAACTAGTGATCTTCAATAAAAGTGGTCATTTTATTAATGAAAAGTTCACACTTGAAAATTCCCTTATTGAATGTGTTAACAAATATCAATACTTAGGTATTATTTTAACCTCATGTGGATCCTTCAAAGAAGCAAGATCTCATCTATATTATAAAGCACTTAAAGCTTCTTTCAAATTATACAAAGACCTAAAAGCTGTTCACCCTCCCATCAAAACACTCCTACATCTTTTTGATCACATGATAAAGCCTGTTGCATTATATGGCTGTGAAATTTGGGGAACCCTTACAGCACGCATACAAGATAAAAACAAACATTTATACGATATTTTTAAAGAGTGGGAGGCAGAAAGCTTAAATATCAAATTTTGTAAATATCTATTGGAAGCTGGGAAGAAAAGTACTAATATTGCAATAATTTCTGAACTGGGAAGATACCCTATGTATTTTTCAATTATTCAAAACATCTTATTATACTGGCATAGGTTGCAATCAAGTCCAGAATCTTCCCTGTTACATAAAGCATATACAGAAAATATTAACCTTAGTCAAGGCAATATTAACTGCTGGTACAAAAATGTAATTTATTATAGTAAGAAAATTAATCTCTCATTACCAGAATGTAAAACATACAAATACACATTTTTAAAAAAACAAGTTAAGAAACATTTGAAAAAACACTTCCTACAATATTGGAAAATGAAACGTGAAGAGGGACTGGAATCTGGAAAACTTACTACTTATTTTAGGTTTAAAGAAAATTTTATAATGGAAAAATATATGTACATTAAATCTCATGAAATAAGAAAATCCATTTGCAGATTTAGAATAAGTGCTCATGACCTAAGAATTGAAAAAGGCAGATATGAATCTGTAAAAAATAATGCTGGTCAAAGAATCCCCTTAGATAGAAACAAAAGAATATGTTTAATGTGTAACCAAAACAATATAGAAGATGAATACCATTTTCTTACTGAATGCCCATTATATACTGAGGAGAGAGATAAATTTTTCCGTGATATCTCATTACTAAACAAAAATTTCATATTATTATCAAAAGGAGACAAATTTCTCTGGTTAATGTCTAATGAAGATAATCTAATTATTACAAAGCTAAGTGAATATCTTGTCAAAGCCTTCAAAATAAGGCATAATGCCACGAGTTTTCATAAATAATGTTATAGACACATATTTATTTATAAACTGGTATATGTATATTGATAATATTGATTTTGATGGCATGTTAATTAACAATTTGATAACCCCAACTGCTGCATCTACATGTCCAGTTACTTGTAATATTATATCAGATATTTACATGTGTGTGTATGTGTGTTTATGTTTGTATATGTTTACTATAACCTTTCTTTTAGAACTTTCTATCTTGTTATTGTAAGAAACCTTTATGCCTTCTGGGCCCAAAATTGGAAATAAAATTATCTTATCTTATCTTATCTTATATTACAAAAACATCGATAAATAAAACCATTTCAAGTGTTATTTTTGCGCAAACAGCGATACGTATGCTTAAAATAAGGGAATTCCTAGTAGATCCGCTCTTATAGAACCTAAATTCTCATTGGCTGTCCCAAAATACAATCCATCAAGGTCAGTAAACATGGCGGATAAATTCAAGTTAAGCTGTTGACACACACGAAAAATAACCGATATATGGGTCGTTGTGAAAATTTTTGGATCGATTTATGTTTTGCATAATTACAAATTTGGATTCCAGGTAAGAGATAATAATAAAATAGCCGTTTACTGATAATTTGAGCCGAAATTCGTGCGGGAGTGATCCACTGCCGCATCTGCGCCATTATAGAGATCCTAAGGAGTTGTAGCCCTCTCCCAAAAAAAAAAAAAATCGGAGAGGGCTACATTATTGCAGCTAGTGTTTCACATGTATATTTTTGTTTTGTGATAAGACCCTCCCCTCTTTAGGTATACATATGAATATTTGCCCCTTTTGACTTTGACCTTCGTGTTTTACCCACTTTTTAAAAACGTGTTACTTGCGTTTAAACAATTTGTATTTTATATTTAACATGCACATGTACATGTATATTTCTTGTGAAAACTCTATTTGAATAAAACTATTTTGACCTTTTGATCTTGTCCCTGGCCATGGAGTTTGACCATTTTTTTGAAAAAATATATGTACTAGTATTTCTTGCGACACAATCCTTTTCCAAGGTATCATTGCTTTTGATCTTGACCTATGAGTTTGACCCACATAGTAAAAACGTTTACCTTCAACTTTCAAGTGATCAAAAATGTTATTACATAAAGAAATATCTTGTCTCAATGAATATACATGTAATATATAAAAGCCGCAACACCAACACTGTTCAAAAGTTCAGGCTAATTAGATTAAATTTTTTAAAAAGGTAAGTCAAACTCAAATTATAAAATTATTTTTCTATTTCTTGTAGTTGTCCTGGTTGTTTCATTGATAAACAATCCTAAATTAAATCTTAAAATACGAACAGTTTTAATACGAACGAATTTAAGCAATATTGCATGATTCTCATATTTATGTTAAAAAAAACAATAAAGCGATTAAAATAACTCTTCAGTAAAAAGTATAATAACCTCATTCATTAATGATAAATGCCTTTTTAAATTGCTTTTTTGCAATTGATCATGATTATCGGTACATATTTCAATTCACCTCTTTAACAATCTGAAAGCAGGAAATCTATCCTAAT